AGTGGCCTGAGTGACGGGTCAGCAGACCCTGACGGGGCCACCAACCGGGCTCAGCAGGCTCGCTGGTGGTGGTCACACTGCTGACTCAGGACTGGTGGCGGCTGGGACATGGCAACCGTGTGTGGGGCCACCTGCCCAGGACCTACAGGGGAGACAGCTGAGAGTTCCTGTACTGAAATACATTCCCCCAAAATACGGGAGTCACTCTGCTTGGAAAAGTAGGTCAGTGAGAAGAAGGAAGACCGTCGAGGGGCTAGACGGCCACGGAGACCCCAACAACACGCTCGAGCACAGAGAAGTGAGGACGGGCAGGACCCGACAGGGCTTGTCCTCTCGTCCAGGGGTCACTCGCCAAGCCCCACACTGGGAGCTCAGGTGGCCCTAGCGCTGAATCCCCAAGGCCAAGCTAAACAGGACCCGCAGTCTCCTCCTGTGTGACTGACCGCCTCTCGAACCCTGCTGGAGGGCCACCCGCTGGAGGGCCACCCGCTGGAGGGTCAGCGACAGGTCAGTTCCCACTCAACAGTACAACACGCTGTTCGCTATGGCGCTCAAGCCGACTTGTTGGCACTGAACCCGAAGATCCAGGCTGTACTTTCTGGCTCCAGGATCTGGGGTCAAGGAGCTCTGGTGGATAAAGAGCTGCCGTGCCAACTCAAAGACACATGGTTCGAATCCACCAGCTGCTCTATGAGAGACAGATGGGCAGTTTCCTCCTCTGTGATTTGCAGCTGCAGGAAACCCACTGGAGGGTCAGATCTGAGTGGGTCTGGACTGTCCGGCACATAGTGACAAGAGAACTACGGTCACAACCCTGGCTGGAGACAGGTTCTTTGCTCTGTTAACCACGCAGCATTAGTCTGTCCTAATCAATCTCTGCAGACTGAGAAGCAGGTAGGGAAGGGCAGGGGGGCTCCCTGAGGTCAGCAGGACCCAGAAGAGAAGCTGAGAAGAGGCAGGGTCCCTCCCATCGCCGCCAGAGGTGGGGGCGGCTTCTTGTGCTGTAGCACCCTGAACCCAGACTTCCAAAAAGATGGACAGTTAATAAAAATCTAAAGAAGAGCAAAGACGAACGGATGCTGCCAATCTGTGTCAGTGAAGAGAGCTGAGAGTCCCGCAGACTGTCAGACCTGGACAAGATGCCACGGTGCCAGCGAGAGAGGGCTCGGGCGCCTCTGGGGGTGAGGACGGGGCTGAGCACCTCTGGGGGTGAGGACGGGGCTAAGCGCCTCCATACGGGGAGAGCTGGTCACAGAATCACTATGAACCAAAGTCGATTCAGTGGTGCTGACAAGTGTTCCAAACAGTGAGCAAATGAAATGCTTGCTGAGCGAGCCCTTGTGGCATTGGGTAAGTGGCACTGGGAACAGAGGCAGAGCCAGAAGGCTCACAGGGCTGGCCCCAGCTGGCTGCGGGAGGTTTCAAATACGCTGCTGGAGTTTGCAGGTTTGACTACATTCAGCTTGTCCAGTTGTGCTCCAGGAGGAAGCCCCACTCCTGGCTTCCTACCCACCCACCCTGTTCAGAGTTCCCAGGATCTCTGAGAGGTGAGCTGGCTGCCCCTGCCCCACCCCATCTTCTGAGAAGGCTTTGAGCCTTTCCTCAGGCTGGCCTAAGCTCTGAGGTCAGGGTTTTCAGGACGCACGCCCAGCGCCCCAGAGCCCCTCAAGTACAGCCTGTGGTGAGGAGCCCCTGCCTCTTGCCTGGTGCCCAGCTGGCTCACAGGAGGGCCATGGGGAGTTTGGGGTTGGATGGCTGCATGTGCCCTCAGCACCAGGGGCACAGCTCATGACCTCTCCGAGCGCACAGAGCTGGCTGGGTCCTGGGGAGGGGCTTTGCTTTACAACCAAACACTGTGCATACACACATCTGGGATAATGGCATCCCAAGCACACCTTGCACAGGCAAACCAAGACAAGGGTTCCACACACTTGGCCTGTCCCGGCGAGGCCTGAGTCACAGAGCCTGGACAGTGCAGTGGGCAGTCAAGGGAGCTAGTGCCCAGGAGAGAAGGCCCTCTCCTGCACCAGAGTCCCGGATAATGTCATGGCTCCTTGGAGACCATGCAGGACCCGCGAGTCAGAGGATGAGGCGGGGGCACCAGAACAAGGCACACGGGGGGGGGGGGG